GAGCAAGACACATGGGGGCCCTGTTCTCTGACAGTGTGCAGTTCCACAGAGACAAACATTAACAATATTGCACAAACTTAATGACAACTGAAACTATTGCTCCAAAGGAAAAGTATGGACTCTCTGAGAGAATGGGCTAGGGAGGGGTCACTGAGCCTACTCCAGGCAGCTGGGAAAGGCTTCCCTGGGAAGTGACAGTGGAGCCAGCCAGACAGGGAAGCAGGAGTTGACTGGGGAGAGGCAGTGGAGAGAAGGAGTGGCTGGAAGCTTCCCAGCAGAGGTCAGGTTGCTTGCCCAGAGGTCACAGTGTCTGTGGTGGTAGAGAAGGATCCAGCCCAATTTGGCCTCATTTCAGGCCTGTGGTCTCTCCTTGTCTCTACAGGCATCCTCTCTTCTCACACAGCACGTCAGCTGGTCTTGAAGGAATAAAGGAAAAACCTGAGGGGCACCTGAGTGGCTCGGTCGGTTAAGCATGGATTCTTGGTTTCAGCTCAGGTCCTGATCTCCTGGTCTGCAGATTGAGCCCCGTGTCAAGCCCTGTGTGTCTCGGGCTCCCCGCTCAGTAGGAAGTCTGCTTCCCCTCTGCCTCTCCCCTACCCCAACCCTGCACACACACTCTCTCTCTAAAACGAATAAATAAATCTTTAGAAAAAAAAAAAAGAAAGAAAAATCTGATTAAAATTTGAGGATTAGTCAGGCTCTCTTCTATCGCCTTTCTCACCTCATGGAGTCTTAAAAATTCTTACAATAGAAATAACAAAAACAACACTGTTTTAAACTATCTGATGTTGCCCAGCTAGCCTGGGTACCTCATACACTCTGCATGTCCTCATTTCTAGGAAGGATGCATTTTACAGGGACCAGGTCGTTAGGAGGAGCTGAGAACACATGTACTGTCCCCTTGCCTTCACCCCCATCCCTCCCAACCCAGATGCAGCTGCTAGAGAGGCTGAGAGGGCCAAAGGGCCTCACAAGCAGCCTGAGGAAGGACACTTTTTGGAGGGGTCCCTTTTGGAGACTCATGGGCTTTCCTTCAAGATGCTTTTCGTCAGGCTCCAGCCCAAGGCCACATACTCACTTGATTCTTACAATGCTCTTGAGAAACAAGATGAAGAAACCGAAGCCCACTGAGAATGATCAGGGCCTGGACAGGGCTACACGCTTGGCCGTTGGCTCTTCAGTCAGTGTGTTCTGCATGTGGACACACTGATGAGGCTCTCTGATACATGGGAGAGTAACTCCCTTGGTGTTGTGCGCGACAGCCTGTGGCAAAAAGGGACCAAAACGGCAGCAGAGATGGAAGGAACCTTAGAGATTCCCTCCAACTCCAACTCCCTCATTTCACACCTGAGAAGCACAAAGATGCTTACATAGCTGGTGGGTGGGAGGGACTTTTGACTCCCAGCTCATTGCTCATTCCATTTTTCCACATGGCTATACTGTTAGCTAAAAAGTTTTCTTTGAATTATGAATGAGCAAAAGGAGATTATGTGTGTGGTTGTGGGCATGTGTGAGACACAGAGACTCACAGACAGCAGTGCAAGGACCTGGGCTGTGACAATGCCTGGGGTTGCTCTAAGCACTGATTCACAGGCATTCTGCTCCTGGTGCCTGTAAGGTCAACCTTAGAAACAACCACTGCCATCTTTAGTTACACCTCCTTTCACGACTGGGTTTCACTCTTCACTGTCTCTGGCAGCTCCAGTGAAGGCACAGGACATACACAAAGCTCCCTGAGCTGGAGAATGCTGCCTTCCCAGGAAGGTGTTTGGTGAGCACTCCTCACGCCCTGGTCCTTTAGGAGCAAGATTCTTTTCACGTTCCTCATGTCTTACTGCTGTCCAGTGACCTCCGCCTGGCCTGGCTGTGTCAGGCCGGACACATCTGTCTTCCTGACACCTTCACAGCCACTGGAGGGGGGCTGGCGTATTTATTATCTTTGTGAGCACACACCACTGCAAAGGTTTTACAAACCTGCCACTGGAAAGTTCCATTTCTCTTCCTTCTACAGCGAGTTTATGTGCTTTGGATCTTGAGCAACTCCCAAGGTGTGACAGGCTTCCTGCTGCTCTCTGTCTTGTATGACTGAGAGGCCCCCTCGGAGAGGCTCCCAAGCCAGGCCCGGCTGCTGCCGCTCCATCCTGGAAAAGTGAAAAATGCCCACAGCAAGCACCGGGCACCAGGAGCGGACCGCTTTCCAACTGGGCTGCCTCCTTCCACAGCCATCACCTGGAGAGCCTCCTCATAAAGACAAGCCTGCCCCTCTTGCTTAACCTCCCCCCACCCCCCGTGGCCCCTGGCAAAGTTGTGCCCTGACCTTGCTCAAGGAGCTTAGGCTCCCCGGGACGATGCCCTGAATCGGTCTGGTGTTCTCCCTTCCTGTCAGATACAGGAAACTCGATTTGACCTCTGGCTCAGAACACTCTAAAATCATTCTTGGCACCGAAAGACTTCCAGCCTTTGTAATCAGAGCATCTATTATCACCCCGATTAGCGCCGAAGCTCCGATGGGGCGGATTCCAAGGCGAATGCGATTTCCGTGATTTCCGTGATTCCTCGTCCCCATGTTGAGTGCAGATGTCTTTAAATGCAGTGAAATCATCTCTAATAAGCATGCAGCAGCATTCAGATGGCTCCAGGGCGCATTAACAGTTTCCCAGCAAAATGCCCCGTGCCAACCCACCTTAGGGGACCCTTCCAGGTCCAGCAAGGAAGAGGCAGGGGAAATCTCAAAGTAAATCCAATTCTCAAGCAAACCATTGTAATTTTAGGGCAGACTTGGAAATGCGATGCTGTACTTCGCTCAGCACTAATGGAGAACTGTGCCCTTCCTTCTCAAGCACATTAAAAAGAGGAGCAAGAAAGAGACAGCAGGAACCACCGCACCCTGGGACTGGAGGAGGGAAATGGAAGCCGAGGCTTCTGGACGTAGAATTATTCTGTAGGGAAACCACTTCATTGTTCAGAGCCTCTGCTTTCTTCTGCCCTGAAAATAGGATTAAGAATTATCTGCTCAAGGCTTTTGTTTGAGTTATTTATACTGTTTCTACAAAGTATATTGGGCCCATATTTACAAATACGTTTACTTAGAATTGGGGAGGAGCCAATGATTATAAACCCTATAATGAGAGGATCCTGTTTTTCACGAAACACTTTGCCCCGGACCTGGTACAGAAGAGATGCTCAGTAGATGTTTATGGAATGAATGGGGTAGGGGTGGGGTTGGGGGGAATGAAAATGATCATCCTCAAGAAACTTAAACCTAACTGGAGGTTACAGACATGCATACCTGCAGTGTAAGGCAATTGTGGAAAGCATCTTAGAACAAAAGTGGTGGGGTTAAAAGCCGAGGAAGGTGACATCCAGATGGCAGGACACAGACACGCTGCCTGGGAAGGGTCTGCCTGGGCTTTGATGGCCGGTGGAACATCTATGGAAAGGGGAGGGTAAGTGCTTCTAGAGGAAAGCAGAAAGCACTGGCTAAAGACGGAGAAGGGAAGCTGGGGAGACACTTGGTCGGCGTGCCCGGATGGGACTGTGCAGGAGGGCAGTGGAGGCAGGCAGGGTGCCTCCTTCCCTCTGGGGAGCACCTGATGCACGGTAGCTCTAGGGCTGTGTCTGATCCCATTTCAGTCCTGACACATGCCCTTCCTGGAGGACAGCGTTGCCATTTTACAGCCAATGAGCTGAGTCATGGTCAAACTGCTAGCAATGAACAGCTCCAGGATTTGTCCCTAGGTCTCTCTGGCACCAAAGCTCTTCCCCTCTGCCTCAGAAGGAAAGATATTATTAAGACCAAGGAGAGTCCTTGACCTTGAGCTAGACTGTGGACTCTGGAGTCAGTGCATAGGCAAGGGACATTCACAAGGGGCACGGACAGAGCTGGGTCTGGGGAAGTCGTTGAGGCAGTAGGCAGTTTTGCTCTAGAAGGAAGCGATCTCAGGGCAAGGATGCCCACAGAAAACCGTTGCAGGGGTTTGGGGTAAGAGGTTCCCAGCTAGGCGAAGCAGGGTGGAAGGGAGGATCCCACGCAAGAGGCTTCCTTCTAAGAGCTTTAGAATGATTCACGTGGGGAGCGAATAAGGGACGCTAGAGGTAGGGGTAGAAGTAGAGACACCACCGTGGTTTCAGAAACCTGAGGGGCAGGGGGAAGGAGGATGAGTTAATCTGGGGCATACCAAAAACAGTCAATCCCTAAATAGTGCAGGTGTCTGATTCACTACCTTCCTCTGCCTTCACTTGTCCTGCACCTTTTAACCTGCCATGTGGGAGACGCACGGATGCAACAGTGCAACTCATGCACTCATCGCTTCTCCAGGACCCGCTACACGCCAGGCACAGGAGGAGGTCCTTGGCTGTCAAGGGGTTCCCGGGCTGAGGGGTAGATTGGAGCAAGTGCTCTGAAGAGCAGGGGGGCGGTGAAGGCACTCAGGGCACGCCTGCAGCAGCAAGACCACGTCTCCTTTCTGCTCAGGGCCCTCCCGGACAGGGGTTCCAAGCGTGGGTGGCAGAGCCCCCGAACAAGGACCCAAATGCACCTCAGCTTGGCCACATCTCTATGGTCACGGTGTCCCCGGGGAGGCAGGGAGGAGCTGCATTCGTTCCGGCCCCCCAGCGCGGCAGGGGCCCACAGGGACACTGATCTTAGCCAGCTTTCTCTGGTCACCAAGGACCCGGCTACAGGAGGCCCGGGGCTCACTGACACAGAGCTGAGCAGGAGGGGTTTTTAAAACTCGAGCGTGGATCAGAATCTCAGCCTGTTGAAGGAGATCCATTTTCTAACAAGTGACTCCCTGGGAGAACAGAGGACTTTTGCACAGATGGGAGGCTCTGCCTCCAGAAGTGGCCTCCCCGTGCTCCAGGCTCCCGATGCGAGCGGCCACTCCAGCCTTCCTCTGGCGCAGAAGGTCACTTGGGCCAGGTGGGAGCAGGTGGCACCGGGGAAGCAGGGAGGCCCTCGTCCCCGTGTCTCATGCTCTTCTCTGTGCCCACCCATCCAGCCTCGAGCCCTTCCCCCGACGGGCAGGACGCCAGGCGGCCGAGGAGCAGGAACCCGTCCACCTGGACTGTGGAGGATGTGGTCTGGTTTGTGAAGGACGCTGACCCGCAGGCTCTGGGTCCTCACGTGGAGCTCTTCAGAAAGCATGTAGGCGCAGGGTGGGCCCGGCCCGGGACGGGGCAGGGGGGTGGAGGGCTGCGCGGAGGCTGAGGGTCAGGCAGCCCCGGGGCTGTAGAAGGGGGTGGGCTAAACTAAGCGCTGGGGAGGCCAGATGGAGCCACAGGCTTCTCAGAGCAGAACCACCACATAGTTTTGTTTTTAAGAAGGGGTATTTGTCCCATCTCTTCCCCCGTTTTGGCCTTTATTAGGAGTGCCTGCTTTCCTGCCCATCCATCCATCCGGCTGGTCATTCAACATTTGTAGCACACCTACAATATGCCAGGCGGACTGTAATAGCACTGATTCCTAAGCTGCTTGGAGGATTCGATGAGAAAACGCACGTCAGGTGTTCGGCACGGTGCCTGGCTTGTAGCTAGCCTTCGGTTCACGTGTATTCACAAAACTAGGAGAATCTGAAATACATAAATGTGGTAAATGAAAAAAAATAGGTAGGTAGTAATTAATACTGCATCTGCCCAGCTTACTATGTCAGTTCTCCGTTGCTACTATCACCAGTTACCACGAGCATCTAGCTTAGAACAACACAGATTTATCAGCTTCCAGTTCAGTGGGTCACAAGTCTGACCAGGGTCTCAGTGGGTTGAGGTTGAGGTGTCTGCAGGGATGACAATTACTTTCTAGAAAGTCTAGGGAGAATTCGTTTCCCTGCCTTTTCCAGCATCTGGATCCACCCTCATTTCTTGGCCCTGTCTGGCTCGGCCCTTGTCCTCAAATCCAGCAGCATCAAGTGAGTCCTTCCCAGGCTGCCAACTCCGGTTCTCTCTTCTGATTTCCTCTTCCACTTTTAAGGATCCTGGTGATTACACTGTCTGTCCCACCCGGTAATCCAGGATATTCCCCCTATTTTAAAGCCAGCTCATTAGCTACCTTAATTGCCTTTTGCCAGGTAACCTAACATACTCCCAGCTTCGGGGAGCAGGACGTAGATGTCTTGGGGGGGGGAGCGAGGGAGCGTCATTCTGGCCTACCACAGTTACCACGATATCCTCCTGTCTCTCACTGGAATTTGGTGATTCTGTCATAGAAACCATATTCTCAGATCTGGGGAGACTCCTCCTTTCACCCGACACTCACATTTCATTAGCAATATATCTGATGTCACTGGGCAGCAGGGCCTTGAGAATAAGGACCCCAGAGGGTTACGTTGAGACGGATCTGAGTGGGAGGAGTCTGGCTGTCTTCCAGAGTGGTAGGGGATGGTGGGAGTCTAGGAGGTGGGGGGAAGAGAGAAGATTAGGTCCACAGATGAGATTTGTCCACTCTGCCATTTTGCCAACGACACAGAGAGTGAGTGATACAAAGTGGGTGCTTCTGGCTGGCAGGCTAGATGCATGAGAGGGGCGGGGGGGCCCTCACATAGTTGTAGGAGTCCTGTAACTGCCTCTTCCCCCGACCTGAGCATTCAAACTATCTTTGTCTCTTGTGGCCTGAAAATAACAGTATAGGTGAGTGAGGAAACCGAGCCTTACTAGGTTCATGAATTGAACATGCATTCTGGAGGGTTACCATCTTCAGAGACAAATGGGAACAATAACAATACCACGACCTCAAGGGGCTAGCATCCCCTTAGTAGTTCATTGTGCTAAACGCTGAGATGAAGCAGGTGCATTATTTAGTTGTATGCCACCTGGTATTATTAACAGGGCCAAACACCTGAAATCCCTCATCAAGTGTAATTAGCAATTTGGTAATCAGCTCAAGGTCGGTGGGCTTACCAAGAAAAGAACAAGAGATTAAGGTGATGGACAGACTACCAAGGACAGAATACCCAGCACCTGAGATCGAAGGGTAATTGCTAGTTTCAGGGTCCAACTGATGGATGACACTTTGTCTTAGTCTGTTCAGGCTACTATTAACAAAGTGCCATAGACCGGCTGGCTTATGAACAAGAGCAATGTATTCCTCAGCTCTGGAGGCTGGAAGTCCAAGATCAGGGTGAGAAGCCTCCTTCCGTGTTGCAGACTGCCATCTTGCCGTAGAAGGATACTAATCCTCTTCCTGAGGGCTCCACCTTCATGACCTCATTACCTCCCAAAGTCCCCACCTCTAAATACCGTCACATCTGCCTGGGGCTTGAACTCAGGCTGACCTGCCTTCTAGTTTGGGCTAACCCCCACCTCCAAATACCGTCATATGGGGGGGGGTAGGATTGCAACATTTGAATTTGGATGAGGAACACAAACCTTAAGTCCATTGCAAACTTTTTGCTCCTTTAGCCCTAAAGCAGATAAGGAGATAAACATCACAGGGGGGCATATTGGGAACATAACTGGGGTTTATGTTTTGTTCCTTCAATCGGGAGCAGGAATATGAAAAATCCAGTGTGTCATATGACCTCAGGGAGATTATGGGAAGAGGAACACAGTATTTGTTTGCTCTATTTTTTAAAAGAAGACATTGCCTTGGGACTAAGAGAATGTGTACCTGAGTGAATCCATATTCCCTTACCTCATCCCCTGACCCCCTGTTGACCATAGCCACTGTTTGATAAATCTGACCATCTTCTGGATTTTCTTTTTTCTGATCCTGTTCCACCAGGAGATTGATGGCAATGCACTCTTGTTGCTGAAGAGCGATATGATCATGAAGTACTTGGGTCTGAAACTGGGACCCGCGCTGAAACTCTGCTACCATATTGATAAACTGAAGCAAGCCAAATTCTGAAGGTTTTTACAAAGATAGAAGCGAAATCCAGACAACAGGTCTCAAGATCATCTTCTGCCTTACCAACATCCAGCCACCATCACAAAATGGATTCTCTCCTGAAAAATAACAGCCACAAAGACTGGGTCTTTCTTTAAACCTTGTGCATCTCTGCCTTTTAAAAAAATTCAACATGGCCCTTTTGAAAGGCTCTTCTGTGTTAATGATTTGCCAAAAAAAATAATGGAAAAGCCTATTATTTTAGCATTTCTGATAGGTTGGTTGCTCTGAGAATGGGTCCTATTTTTACGATGAGAGATCAGGGAACCCAGTGCTACAGACCACGGAGAACCCTGGAGGGTTCCAAGGAGGTGAGAAGAAAGACCTTTGCCTCTACAGGGACTCCACCATAGCACCACCTGTCTTTAACTCTGCCCCAGGGACCTGTCATTGTGAGCCTTGCTTAATTCAGCTCTGGAAGCTGTCTTCTGAGGAAACATGCCTCCTCACCTTGCACTATCTGGAAAACTTGAATTCTTTTGCTCTCTGAAAGAGAAGAAAAAAATCTTTTTCTATTCCTAGTTATCTGAAGTACTGTGTTGTCCCACTAGAGGGCAGGCTGCTAATGAAGTTTCAGGACCCTCCGAGCAGCAGCCTGCTGATGTAGTCCTCAGTGGACCGGTTAGGGTCTCTGTGAACAAGATCTAGCCTACACAGACATGGAGAATTTCTTCCACAGTCAGCACCACAGGTTGCAACTTGGGGAAGAAACTATCTTCTAGAATGTTCTAGTTCATATCCAGTCATTGTTGACTGACTGAGATGCCCAAGCAGCAAAGGCAAAAATGTGCAAGTATGTTCTTCCCAGATGGGGCTTTGGAGTTCCTTCCCTTTCAGAGTCCTTACTGGGGTGTTGATGTGTCGGCACGCTGAAGAGTCTTAGTGACATTTAGCCCATGGGTGTTTCTTTTAAAAAATTAGAAAAATGTCTCAGATAAGCTTTGAAATGGGAGAGTGTTGATTTCTTGTTACATTTCTGGATTATGTAGTTGTGCCACTGGCTAATTTTACTAGTTCTCAACAAATACACAGACATGCTGTTACTGGGTTTAATTCCATTTACAAATAGGTTTTCCTTCCTCGTCGTGGAGTAATAGGAAAAAATCGATTTTTCACCCCTTTGCAGCTGTGTCCAAGCAAGGACGGCGCGTCCCCAGTTTACGAGGCGGAGGGCAACCTCATCTCCATTCTTCTTTTTATCCTTTTCTCTCTTTCCCTCTTCCTTTTATCCGACCTCCCTTGCTGAAGAGGAAACAGATTTTCAAAATGAATTCACCTTTGCCATGGGCAAATCCTCTTCCTTAAAAACATCCACAGTGTTAGAAGTGAGGAGATGAATACTAGACTCTGCAATCTCTGGGAGGGTGAGGATCAAAGAAAACTCAGGGCCCCCCTTGGCCCAAATGCAAATTAGAAAAAGCACACCTTTCTCCGGGGATGCAGCCGAGCAGGGGGTCTCAGGTGATGAACGGAGCAGGGGGGGGGGATTTCCTCCCCCGCCCCCTCAACCGGGTGCCCTTGTGCAGGACAGGAGCTGTGCAGCCTTGAGGCCAATCAGGCTAGATTTGCATACTGATCTTCTGTAAATCAGTTAGAACTCAGAGGAAGACCATAAGGAAGATTCCATGCCATGCTGTTAGACCCACTTTGATGAGCAATATTTGAGAAAGCACATCCTAGCAAAATCCTTTTTCAGACACACAAATGGTGGCTGGACTTAAAGCATGACAGAGACCGGAAGGAGGACCATGTCCTACCCCTGCTCACCGAACTGAGCTTGAGTCATCAGGTTGTGGAAGGGCTTAGTGTCGGTTGCTTTCGGCACCTGACAATACTACCTTGAATCAGGCCTCGGGGACAGAGTCTTCCAAGATTCTAAAGTGACAAAATGACTCTGCCCCTCAAAGTTTGTTCATTATGAGTGCTCATGGATGGTCTGGAGTTAGATAATTCCCCTCAAAAGGCCACGGCTAGTTTGTGTATTCAGAACTGCCAGTGTGAAAATGGTGAGATCCAGAAAACGCCACGACAGCCCATCCGCTGTTTTTTGCTCAGTCCTCTGAAACTTGTCATGCCTCTTTCATCAACATATACCTCGTTGAGAGACTTTCAAAACTTCCTACCCACCCTCACCAGTGCCTCGCTCACTACAAAAGCATCAACGTTGGTGCTCCCAAATTAAAATCATCCCCAAACAATGTCAAAGAGATACTTTGAGTAGTTTTCGGAGGAGAGAGATTTTTTTCATCTCAAGTCTAGGAGAAAACTGGATCCATGTTCACGTGTAACTGCTCTCACGGAGGTGCGATCTCATTTTGCATTAAACTTTAAGCAGGACAGATTGCTGAAGCCATGATATTTAAGGTTTGACTTTTTAAAAATCTCATTACTCTTAAAATGAATCTGCCATATCAGAAAATAACCCAGGGAGGAAATTCCTCCTTGCCTGTTTTTGCACTGAAATGCAATTAGCCAACCAAATTATTGTAGCAATACTGCAATTATAATTAATTTTCACCCCTTTCAAAAATCTTGTCAAACCAGGCAGCTAAATAGCTCAGCAAATGTAAAACATGCCAGGCCATTTCCTCTAAATGGACCTTAAAGAGTCAGGCCATGTGTGTCACTCTCATCCAAATGTGAGCTTATTTCGGGAGCCTCACACTCGTACGGATACGGTACTTGTCATTCCACTGCGGTAGCTGTGTTTCAGGTTGTGGTGAATAATATAGTTTTGCATAATTCCAAATTAGAGTGTGTGAGTGTGTGTGTTCATGTCCAGACATTTCCAATCACCCGTGTCTGTTAACCACTTAAAAAAAAAAAAATCTAGAGACAATTCTATTGCCTAAATTCATTTTAAATATTTCATAAGTACATGAATCCCTTTGTGAAGCCTTCAGGTAAAAGATGTAGGGGGTGTGTGTGTGTGTGTGTCCCCTCACACAGTGGTTGGAAGAGCCTAAGGAAGAGGCTGAGAGAGTGTCAGCTGTTCGGTTTGCTTGGTTTAAAATGCCTCCCCAGTTTGGAACTTGGAGGCAGAGCCCGCTCTCGGCGGTTGGGACGAGGTATCCCCTTTACTGCCAGCAGGGTGCGCCGTGGAGGCAGCTGGGGACGGTGCAGGGCTGTGGGCCGGCCTCCCTCAGGTGCTGCCTAGCGCCCCCTCGGGGCGGGGAGCCCGCAGGGCAGGGAACAGACGTCTTGAGCGCCTTGTTTAATGCCCACCAGAGCGTTCGTTCACCAGGCTCCCACCATTTCTCTTCAGCAGGGCTGCCAAGGTTTTCCCCCTTCCATCAGGAAGGATTGAAGAGCTCCTCAGGAGAGCCAAATACGCTATTTAAATCTATTGGGAGGGAGTCCTGAGCTAAGGTTGGTTTGCTTGAGAAGGAAACCGGTGAGAGAAGGAAGACACAACTATAAATTTCTTAGGAAAACGATAAAAGAGCACCTCCTCGCACAATCCCAACCCTTGAAGCTGCGATAACCTATTTTTGTATTTATGTGCTGTATGGAATCTTTCTTACTTTTTAAAATTAAAGTCATTTTTTAAATTATTTTTTGAGATTGCTTGAGGAGAATTTTGTCATATCTCTGGAGATAATTGGAACTGCCCAGAGGTGACCAAGGACTTGAGTTTAGTCACTGTCAGAAGGTCTTGAAAGATGGAAATATTCTGCTTTATTTCTACCAGGTTTTCATACATATGAGCAGGTGACAAATGCTCTGACAGGGCACTTCTTCAGCTCTTCCCGAGAGGGGTGACAGGATGAAGAGATTGGACTCACCTTTTTTTCTAACCTCTGATAACAAGACATGGGATTGTGAGGGAGTAGATGAACTTTGTAAAGCTGCAATGTTTTGTTAAGGAGAGGAGCAAAAGAAAGCCTGTTGGTGGATGTGGTTTATTTTTTGTTATAAACACACTCCAAGAACCGAGTGGTTGCCCAGCTCTGCTGTGGTCTTGCTATGTCCCCTATCCCCGGTGGCATGAGAAGGCCACTTGAGAACCCCAGAGGTGAATCCCGCAGATGGTCAGACATCTAGAGATGCCGCCATTCCGGTTGCCATCTTGTGATGTCACCCCAGGGCCGACGCCCCGCTGCACTCACACACAGCAGCTCCGCTTCCAGCACCACTGCGGGCTGGGCTGTCCAGGGAAGAGCGCTGGGAGCCTCAGCTTCCAAGGAGTCCTTCCCTCCGTTGGTTACCCTAATCGAAGACGATTCCTTCATGGACAATCGGAAGCTGGATTTTCGAAAATCTAACGTTTACTTGAAAGAGAATCTCGCTTATTTATTGCCACCAGTTAAATATTATGGAAACATGTCTGCTAACAATTTGCTTTGTGTAATTTGTTCTAATGCTAATAAGCAACAGCTGGGATACTTCCTGTGGTAAATTCCTTTGTGGTTACAGTGGTATTATCACACATGGACTTCACCAAAACGCTGTACTTAAGAAGAACGTTCACTCTGGCTCTCTCAGACTTCAGGAAATTCCCCTAACTTAGAAACAGTTCTGGGCAAAAGCACATTTTTAGAGGAAGATTTGCTCTTCTTCACTCCCTGCTTCCTCAAGCAGGCCCCCAGACCTGTGCTTTTCAAATCCTACATACAGAGCCTGAGGGCGGTTCTCCTCACTCAGCACTGAGTTTGAGTTCCTCCAGGGGAAAAGCAGAAAGCAGAACTTAAGAATGACCTTAAGAACTTAAGAATTCCTCGGGTGAGGATGCCGTACCCAGAGGGGATATTAAGAGCATGTGGGCAGGAGAGGAGTGGAGACACATCCAAAGGCGAAGAGGTGGCTCAGCAGGTGATCAAATAGTGACGACGTCAGCCAGTGTGGGGACTGCAGCATTTTTCTGTCCAAAGGGTCTCAGTATACCACTCACACTTGCTCTGGGCTGCCAGCCCACCAGGCTCGGCTCTGTCGCTCCACCGTATTACCTGAGACTTAGAGTTGGTTCCATGCACCGATGCTTGATTCAAAAGGCCAACACAAATGTCCTCTGTTAGATCCTACTTTGGAACACACCCGGTGCCTTGCTTTTCCGAACAGCTCACCATGCAAGAGCAGACCCGCATGGAGTGCCCTTTCCCCGTCGCCTGTGTGACTGGACGCTGCCTCCATCATAAATGTAGCATCCTCAAATCTCAGGAAGGCTCTGCCTCCCCCCGCCTCCCGCCGGCAGCGCTGGATGGCCTTCCCCACAGCCCTGAGAAACGCCTGTGCCCGACTACTTCCCATTAGGGGGAGTTCACTCCCATAGGAAGTGGCTTGTTTCTCTGTTGGACAGCTCTGGTTGTGAAAAAGTTATTTCTCAGGGAGACACAGATGTCTGTGAATCACACACAGACGTTTGAGATGAAGCCAACTCTGCAATCTTTCTCTTTTTAACAGAGCTCGCCCATGCAGTAACCGCACCTATAATACAAACCGACTTGGCAAGTAGATCCCAGCTCTGCTACATGAGGATAGAGGAGCAGACA